CTTGTGCTGAGGGCTCCAGAGCTGGACGCAGTACTCCAGGTGAGGCCTCACCAGAGCAGAGTAGAGGGGCAGAATCACCTCCCTCGACCTGCTGGCCATGCGTCTCCCGATGCAGCCCAGAGTACGGTTGGCCTTCTGGGCTGCCAGCGCACATTGCCAGCTCATGTCCAGCTTTTCATCCATCAGTACCCCCAAGTCCCTCTCAGCAGGGCTGCTCTGTTGCAGCAGTCATCATAGAATCATAGAATCATTTAGGTTGGAAAAGACCTTTAAGATCATCAAGTCCAACCACTAACCTAACACTGCCATTCCCACTAAACCACGTCCCTAAGCACCTCGTCTACTCGTCTTTTAAATACCTCCAGGGATGGGGACTTGACCACTTCCCTGGGCAGGCCGTTCCAATGCTTGACAAACCTTTCGGTGAAAAAGTTTTCCTAATGTCCAACCTAAGCCTGCCCTGGTGCAACTTGAGGCCATCAAAGAGCCCAGCAGGGAGGCAGGCAGACATGGGCATGGGGATCGAAGCAGGCACCACTGCCTCTGCCAACCACGTGGATAGACCTCCTCGCATGCTGACCCCGGCCATCTAAGAGGAGAACCACTCAGGTCTTTTTATGATTATTTCTAGTACCAGAAAGAAGAAGCTCGCCAGAGGTTCTTTTGGACTACTCAAAAGGGCAGTTCAAAAGCAGCATCTGGTTCCTACAGGGAGAATCCTCATTCATTAGATACCTAGACAGCACACCTTCTAAATACCATGTTTTCTTCCTTTTTCAGAGTCTCTCAGGTTCCTCTTTTCTCCTAAAACTGGGAGGGGAAATAACCGCAAAAGATCAGAAGACACGAGCTGAAAAATACATCAGCCAGCAAAAGATCCTAAAATAGTAAACGTCTGTCATGAGAATGCAGCCTGCAAAAAAAAAAAAAAATCAAACCACAGAGAAATGGCTATTACTTTTCTGATTTTGAAGCTGCTTCTCTGGGGATGCTGGACGCACAAAATTCTGCCGGTAGCAACAAACACAGAAGTTTCCATGCACAAATCCAATTAATTCCATCCAAATTATAACACAAGTGAGGAGAAAAAAAAGCTAGAGAACAGGTACCTAGATACTATAAATGCCAGGTAAACACAACAGATGCTATAATAAACATTAAGAAACCTGTGATAAACAGATTTTTTCTTTTTCCTAAAGGGTGCTTTATCATCTTTAAGCCTCTAGCTCCCCACAATCAAAAAGGGGTGCAACAAAAGGATAGGAGCCACAAACCAAAATATTTCATAGGGTCATCACATAAGTACCATCTTAACACATTTCTTTCCTAAGCACCTTCCAGCTCAGTTAATATTTTGAAGTGTTCTCTGGGGGAAAAGATAGCCCAAATAGGTCTGGAAGGCAATATTGCTTGCCTCTTTCATCACTGGAGATGCCTCATGATTACAACAGAGCCCTTCTGACAGCTTCTCAAAGACAAGATGGTTAACAACATGAAAGCAAGGACAGAATTATCTCAGCCTCTAAATTGCTGAGTATGAAGGAGAGGAAGGACACATTATTAGAATAATACCCAGAAAAAAAAGCACGTGTTTTTCCACCTCCCCTTTTTCTGCCACAGAAACTTGCTTCGTTTCTCTTCGGACTTAACAGACCAACACGCAAGAAATCAGTTGTAGGCTCTTTTACTATCTAGAGATAGCATGCTCAAAAAAACTGAAAAAACCCACCACCAAAAATTCAATGACTTAACCAAAGCCCCAAAACCCCACAAGACCAAAAAACCCCAAACAAACGCCCCCAAACCTTAAAACTAAACAGCACCTCTGTACAAACACACAGTGGTAGGTACATTTTTAATCTTTTTTTTTTTTTTTTCTGGCCCCAAAGACCCACAAGATCAGCTGGCAGTGACTCTTATGGAAGAGAAATGAACTTCTGGGTGTCAACCAGTAGAACCAACCTCCCCTCAGCAAAGCGACCCCAGGCGAGGATGCTGTCTTCCCATGAGCTGACAAAGTGAAGCTACTGACGGTTTGCATGTGTGCCTGTGCTTTGCTTTTTAAAAATGCTGCAGAGCAAATCAGAATGCAATTAATCAGGGCATTGAGACCACTGTTAATGAAAATAAGTCAGACACGACAGACCCAGGTTTGAATACAGTTTCTGTGTTTTTCTAGTATCTGTAAGCACGATGAGCCAGCCTTGGGTAGAATTTGCTTTGAATTCTTTGATACCATCTTCAGTTTAAACAATGAAGAACAGTGGGCAGAAGGAAAACAACTTTAGTGAACTCCATTAGAAACTCACCATAGGCATCATACCTGATGTTTTGAGGCAGCCACTGATGCATAACTGAGCTCGTAGTTAATAGAAATTATATACCTAGTGAGTTTTACATAATTACCAGAGTACCTACCTGTATTTTCAGAAATTTCTGACCTTTAGAATTTACTGTTGATTACCCTGTTAAGGATCTGTCTTCAGATTAAGAAAAAAAAAATAATGCGTGACTACCAAAGCTATGGAAATAATGTTCTTATAACAGCACCTCATTTTAGTGATAAGAGCAAAATACAGAACGCTTAATTTGCAGCAGATGTGACCTATACAGCCTCTGCTGATAAGCAGGCCCACTAAGGATACATCCACTTTCATTAATTTTTCCATTCCATAGGATAACGTGGTATAATCTTCCTAAAAGCATCGCAAAAAATTAAGCATTGCAAAAAGAAATATGTCAATACCTCATTTCACAATCGCTTTCACATTTACTAAACTGAGCTACCATTTTATACATTGGTACAACTCGCCTAAGTGAACAAGTCTAATCTCGGTGATTTTTGAAAAACTAATAAAAATGCCACTTGACATTTTTCAGTTATTTGAACAGCCACATTAACAAGCAGATCCCAGGAAAACCAGCTGAAGTTGCCCTTCTCAGAACCACCAATTCCAAGAACACCAATTAACAAAATCTTTCCAGCAAGAGAAATTCCAGCAGGAACAGGGAGTAAAAAAAAATCGTCATAAGCCACATTAGAATTCTCGCTTAGAATAAGCATTGACAGAATTTGCCTTTCTCTGTCAACTAATACATCCAGACTTCTGCAGCCCCAAAAGAACCCCCAAAAATCCCTCATTTGAGGATTTAAAGCAGAAATTGCAATCCTAGTTACAAGCGAGGACAGAGCCCACACAATCAAAAGATAACAACGCACAAGCTACTAGAACACAAAAGTGCAATATCTAGAATAACTGGTCAGCCACAGAGGGACCGAAGTCCCTCATTTTGGCATTCATTTCAGCACTGCCCTTAAATTTCAATGAAACACAAATTCTGTCTCAGAGGAAGGTTCTGTTAGCCACAGACTATAAATTCAAAACCAGGCAGACAAGCACAAAGAAAACGAATATATTTTAATTGCATATGCTTAAGAAATGCAGTTAGACAGTTAATTTTGGCGACAGGTATATCGAAACCAAAGGCTATCTCTCTCCCCCCCCCCCCCAAATTAATAATACATTTTTTATTTCTTAACACAAAGAATGTTACAGAATTAACAAGATTTATTAAATTGAAAAGCATGTCTGGCTGAATATTTGAAGTAGCAAGGAATATTTTAATTCATGGATTAATTTTTATTGTGACAGAAGTGGGGCTTTTTTTACACTTTTCTGTTTTACACTTTCAGAGTAGATAGGAAATGCTACACATCAGTTTGACAAAGGATATCTCATGCTAAGTTTTAGTTAAAAAACCCCACAGAAACCAGATATTTAAATATAAATTATTTGTTTTGAAAACCACTTAGCAAAATATAGGAAAGGAAGAAGTGCATTACAAAATATATGTGTGCTTACTAAAACCTTTGCGATTCAGTGCTCAGCTTCCGATGCCCAATGAAAAAATGAGATCAGTCAAGACGGTCCGCATAGTAGTTCAAAGGCTAACTGGTGTGAACATCTCTGCACTTTCAGTACTGCAGCCATCCTCAAAATTGGAAAAGGATGACCTGCTCTCTTTCAGGCCAAGTACCAACATGAGAAACAAGAAATGAGACAAAAAATGTTATAAACATATTACTTCTATAAGAAGAAAAACTCTGAAGAAAAGCTACTGTTGATACTTAGTCAGATCTGAAGCTTTTCACATGCATCATAAACTAAATTTTCTCTTGCATGTACTCCTTCATGCATTTTAGTTTCTAATTCCTTCTAATTTTAAAATAGGCCACTTTATTCTAATACCAAGTAAATGATGCCTTTTGGTATGGGGAACAGGCTTTACTAAAGGAATGAACAGCATTTATATTAAAAAAGTGGTTAGCATAGCACAACAGACATCCTAAAAAATGTGCCATGTATTATTCTGAAAGCATCTAAAATTTTCAGTCCCTGAAATCAGTTCAAGACATTAATTATGAAGTAATGCACATCAAGACTAAATCCTCCCTTATTTAGCTCAATCCTTGTTTAGAAAACGTCTCTTCTTCATTTTTGTTGTCTTCCACTCTAAATTCCCCAAGGGTTCCTTAAGATATTAACAAAATCATCATCATCCATGATTCCAATACTTAGTCCTTCATAGTAATCTTCAAACTCAGAATAGGACACTTCATTGGGGTTGCTGCAGGACTCTCCTAATGTTTCTAGAAATGACGATTTAATTTCTTCTTCTGTAGCTTTGCCTATGAAAGTATATATTAAATACATTTTCAAGAACAGTGAATATATAGCATTTAAAATATTTCAGGCAAGAAACTTAAATTTTAGCTTGGAAATATTTTTTTCTTGAACAAATTCAATATTCTGATTTCAGAATGAAGTCATTGGCTCACTTAATACCAGCTGCAGAAATCATCTACCTTAATAGCATTAAGTACCAACAGATGTATGAAGCCACAGTGAACTTCAATGAACTATAAGATCAGCAAGAATTTTTTCTTCAAATGACTTCAAAAACTGAATAATGCATTCATAAACTAAAATTTTGGTAATTCAGAAGTTGTCTTGTAATAAAGCATATGTTTAATGTAATACAAGTTCAAAGCTCTAGGAAAACCTTAAGACGCAAGTTTGCATTCAGAAAGTGTTCTGCAATTGACGTGTGTTTTAGTGACTTAATAAAGATTATACTCAAGATGAATTCATAGCATTGAGAAAAAAAATGGCAAAAATAAAGCATTATAGCATTGGAAAAAATTGCATGTGTAACACCCTTATAACACCATGCGTCTTCATGTTACCATTAAAATCACTGGCAATACAAAAACCATCCTCTCTTCTACAGGTAAAACAGAAAGGGTCAGGACACTAAGGGGACTTTCACAATGAGTAGTTTCGTACATGGAGATGTTCTTCTAGAAACTGACATACAAATATTTAGCTTCCTATTTTCTCAACGGCAGAGTTTAAACATTTTTGAGAATCCTAAAAAGATAATGACAATACCAACACTTCCTCTGTCCCAGAAATAAATGAATAATTTAATCATAAGGAACTTCAAGTGCTGAGTAGATTCAGTGTCGGTTAGAAACCTTGCATATTTTGATGGAAAACAGTAATATGAAAATGAGAGTATCCTCCTAAGTGCAAATTACTAATATCCTGTGTCATACATGATAACTTGCACATCAGAGCTGAGAACTAACTACTAAAATGTAGCCCTACACAGGGAAAGGAACTACTCTGCATACATGCAGTATTTACAGCTTGATAAAAAGCACATATTAAAATTATATATATGAACTCCATTACTCTTTATAGTCATGTTCCAGATAGACACATTACAGGTCATCAGAGGAAAAAAAGTTCTCCTTAACAGCTCAAGTCTAAGCCGATATGAAAACAGTTTGTATTTGCAACTAGTTTCTGGATCTGGTGTCTGTGCTAACAAGATGACTTCAGTAGTTACAGATTTTATTTTTTTTTTGTTCATGTGAATTACCTGCCAATACTAGAGGATGTTTCTTTGCACAGTAACATTTTCTGATATCTACCATAGGCACAGTCCCAGTTTTGTTGAAATCTAATTTCATATAAGCCTATAAAGGGAAAAAAAAATCATGTAAGTATATACGGAAAAAGAAAAAAAAAAGTGGAAAGATCAAATATACTTAACTACCTAGCACATATTTTTAGATCTTGTGCAATGGATTATGTCAATTTATCTATTTTATGTAAGGCACCAGATACCAGAACATTATTCTAGATTATGGAATTTCATGATTATTTTATCTCAACAGCTTTCAGATCAAATGTGGTCCCTTTACCAACCCCCCCCAAAATTGTCTTGTCTTCAAATATCTAGCTCATCCTTAGAATCAGAAGTTAAGCTGCTTCCCTTCTGCATCCTCCAATTACTAAGATTCCTGCGTCATTCTGGCAGGCCTCAACATAGCCTCTTCAGCACTGCTAACAGCAGCTTCATTTTCATTTCAGTTTACTCAAATACAGATGCTTGATACATAAGGCTAAGAGAGTCAGATCTGCATGATTAGAAGTATGAAAGTATGTGTCATTTTTCTTGATCTTGCTATTCAGTTGCTACTCTATTGGCTGGTTTGTAATCAGTGTTTCATACTGCTAACGGCTCCACATTACATTATAGACATATAACAAATGGCATTTCAAATATAGGAAGTCTCACAAATATAACAACTCTAATTGTAGGTCTCAACGGAGGCAAGTATTATTGCCTCTATTTCAGACACTGAGGGAAAAAAATCTCCACACAGATACAGTGATCTGCCAAAAGAAGGAAATAGACTTCTGGAAGAGAGAGTTTCAGGCTGCCAGATGCTTTATACACTGGACTGAATGGTAAGAATAGCACGCATATGCATAAACTCAAAATAATAAAGGAATTAATTCTAGAGTTCAAAATGAACTAATTCAACAATGGAACAGCATGCAATCTTCTAATTTATGCTTATTTTAATAAACTGATCTGAAAGTTTAAAAAGTCAATTACCAGATGCACAAGTCAAGAAAAGCAACAAAAAACCCGCCATCACCTCCACAAAAAAACCCCAACAACCAGAACATGACAAATGACCAACTTCAAAGTTAGACTGCAAAATATCTACACCTAGAATATCTGTAACAAAACTTACTTTTCTTACAAATCCTTTCCGATATTCATTCATTTCTCCAAATACAGCACGAGTAAATTCTCCATAGTCGACCTTATCACTCTTGCTGTCATCAAGAATAAGCCATAAAGATTCAAAGTCCTGCAATTTAAAAATATCTTGCCAAAGTTCTTCACTATGTCCTAGAATGACACAATTGCTGTCATAGGAAATTACAGTATTCTTACAAAAAGACAACTTCCAAATCAAAATTGACTCGAAGATCTGCCAAAATAATGCAAGTCATCATCAGTCACTGATGACCATAATTAACATTATTTGCAGTTTTGATAGCTGTGGGCTGGTTTTAAAACATAATATATAAAACCAAGAAAAAAGTTAAGTAATTAGCATCATATAAATTAACTTTAAAAGGCCAGAAAAGAAAAAAATGCATCACAATCCCACTTGCTTCTTCATGATGTAAAAAGATTGCACATTTTTAATTAATTTTTTTTTTAAGAATTTCACTGAGTGCAGAAATGCCACTATATAACAAGAGAAAAAAAAACTTGCAAGAAATAGCTATTAAACTATAGATTTATGCAAAGAAAGGAAGTGATTCCATAAATTAAAGTAAGATAATACCCATGATAACAGTTTCATCTAGACTTACCCCTTCAGGTATTTCCAAATGGAATACTTTTAGAGCTTCTTTAAAGTCTGCCTGAGAGAGAAAACCATTTCTGTTCTTGTCTACGTGTCGGAAATATTTTCCTAAACCTGTTATAACCCGAACTCCTCTTTTACTTAGTGTCTCTCTGAGTATACCTGAGGATTTAGAGAAATAAAGGACATGATGTGTACCTGAAGTTGGCCACATTCTATGGAGCTGATATAAAAGTAAACTGCAACTACTTATGATAATGCTGGTTAAAATGGCACATACATGCATCCAGGCTCCCTGATCTTTGATGAGAGAATGTCAATTGAAAATGAAGCTATCAGTTACTTCACATTTGAGTAGAAATCACATAAAGCAGCAGCCAACATCTAACAAAACTTTTAAAGAGACCACAGAAGGAAAGGATGAATGGATATCACCCTTTATGTGCTCAGATTATAAAACTGCTTACTTCTGCTAGAAATGTTTACATACCGTGGTCCAACATAAAAAGCAATTTAGGAACACTACCTTGGTAATAAAAGCATTCCATTACGGGACACAAAGTTGCTCCTTCATTGTACAAACATGTTAAATACATGTGAAAACAAGAATATAAGTAGTTCTGCAAAATTGTTCCAAAATTATATGGAGAGAACTGGTAAAAATGACATCCTAATAAAAATCTCTAGGTAGCAGGTTTACTTTAGGGATATCTGAGTTTCTCAGCAGACTCTGTTAACAAGTCATCTCCTATTATCATATCTTCAGATTACTTGTATCTACAATTATAAAGCAAAATAGGGGGGAGAGTAAAAGAAGAAAGTTTTTTCCAGTAAAGTTCAAATTCAGACATAAGTTAAAAGATGTCTTGAAGTATATACACATAACCTTCTTCCAAGCCACATCAGCAAACCTTCGATGTGGTCAGACAATTGAGAAATCAATTTGTGTGGAATAACTAGAAGATTAAAAAATATGCCTAACTTATTATTCCAGCAATTTTTATAAACGTAAATGTCCAAGCAGATTTTGGTGACCAAAGAATGCCTACTTAAAACAGGTTTAACTAATGGCAGTCAATAGTGGAGATTCTATGAGCTGGAAGCTGTTCAGTTCAACATTTTTTTGCTGACCACAGGTTACAAAGATAATGCACAGAACTGCATAAACATCTTTCCATAATTTTAAATACAAAGCTATGCCTTTGTCCTAAAGACTGTAGGTAGGAACCTGGTAAAATTTAATTACATATTCCAGAATATACTACTCAATTTTACTCACATATTTTAATAAGCACAATATTAAAAGACTATCAAAAACGAACTTGTCAATGTATAGAAATAATGGTGCAAAGGATCTAGCACATTAACTGTAGAAACGAGATTGTGTTGGTACATTTTGCCAGTAAGTTTTTTAATTTAATGCCAGTTTAACACAGGATCAGTGTTACGCTTCAGCACGTTTTCAGAGATTATGTCAACACAGAGATTAACATTTTATTGATTGCATTCACAATTATTCTGTACTCTCTCCACGATCTTTAGCCAGATTGTTTATCTAAAGAAAGAGAGAGGAGGAACTATTCTTATGATCGATTTATTCTGGTATCAGATTCTAATAATATTCTGATAAATATCTAATTTGTGTTTAATTTCATTTACAATATTACTATTGCTCTTCATGTTGAGCTGTAAAGATAGAGACAAAAATTAAAATTAAGTAGTTTCTAGTGACACAAACCTTGAATCTTCTTGAAAACTTTGCTGTTATCAACCACTTGCTTGGAAAGCTCTTCCTCGAATGCCATAGAAGATGCTCTAAAATAATCAAAATTAATCTGATTGGTGAGATTACATGTAATATTACAATGAATTCAAAACAGCTGTAGAAAAACATACTGAACTTTATATTTAATTCTTCTATTACCCTTATAAGCATAGTATCCAATTGCTTGAGTTTGAGATGGACACACAAAAGTCTTTCCTGAACAGCTGCAGATATGCAGAAATTCCTCTGACAATATTCCATTAGCAGCTCCTCTACTAATTCATTAATCATGGATAATTCTTCCTATGCATAAAATCTCCAGAAATTGATTTCAAGACTGTCCTAATCTTCAGCTCAGGCCACTGGAAGAGTTTCTTGAAGCAACTTCATTTAGTTGCTAATAGGAAAACAACATGGAGTAGCTACAAATCTCTCTTTAGAAGAGAAATGCAAGGGTGTAGACTAAAATCTGGGTCAGCATATCTTAGGTATGATCTAGGAATTATGGCTAAATTTTGTGTTTTGTCTGGCAAGTGATTCCCTTCTGAGAAGGGCTTCCCAGACACCCCCATCAGATATTATCATAGAAGTTGATAAAAAAAAAAAAATACTGTGGAAGAACCTATTGGAAGAAAAAAAAAGAAGTCCAATAATTATTTTAATCAGCATAGGAAGGCAAATGCAAAAGCACTACTGTCAACTTTGAGCTCCTTGCTCACCAGTGCTATGCCATGGAGCACTCCTCCTCCTGCTTTCTGAGGCCAAAGACCTACCTCTCTGTGGTCTATTAAGACTTTTCATCTCCACTTTGGGTACCTCCCATGATGAAGTCCCTGTCTATATCAAACCACCTGAACTGGAAAGCCAACAATCACCTACAGAGGACAGCATACTCTTTCTAAAGCGCGTGTAAAACACAAAAGCTCCATGGCTTGTGACAGCAGGGCATAACTGCTCCTGAAAACCCGCACTAGACCTTTTGGACTGTACCCAAGCAGGATTTTCTGTGACTACAGTAATGGGGGTAAGAGGACTCAATTCAAGAGTTATGCACCAGAGAACACAGAGTTCAATAACACCCCTATTCAGAAGGAAAAGACAGACTTCACAATCTGAAATTTAGTCACTAATGGAATGAGCACAGAGAGAGTATAAAAAAGAAACAATCTGTTCCACCACAGGTAGCAGAAAATCCAAAATTATAAACCAGTGAGCCGGTCTTCATTCTGGAGCCTTCGGAGATAGCATTGGATCAACTCCAAATTTTTCAGGTATAAGATTAGCAACAAATGAAGGAAAAAGCTGTTTACCAGAATGATAGGCTTCTGAGATGTAAAATGTCTTACATAAACTATATGAAATTAAACTATATTGTTTTTTATTTCATGGAAACCTTGCAGAGAGGGAACAATTAGCACTAAGCATCCTACAACTATACATTGCTTTAACAAATTACATTTGAATTTACTGGTTTATGTACTGTTAGCTCACTATGGCTCCTTTGCAAAGCCTTCAGTGTAAAGGGACCTTGAAGTGAGTATTACCATAACTGAGAACAAGCTCCATGTGTCTAAACACTTGCAGAAAGAAAAATTAAATTCAGTTAAGTTGTTCTAACAAAAGTAGTCTTCAGACAGTGAATGTATTTAATTGAGATTCTGTTATTGCTGTTTCTCGTCAAGAAGGGATTGAACCATCTGATATACGAGGAGAGGCCGGTAGAGCTGGGACTGTTTAGCCTGGAGAAGAGAAGGCTCGGGGGATCTTATGAGTGTGTATAAATATCTGATGAGGGGGTGTAAATAAGATTGAGACAGGCTCTGCTCGGTGCAGCCCAGTGACAGGACCAGAGGTAATGGGCACAAACTGAAACACAGGAGGTTCCCTCTGAACATCAGGGAACACTTTTACTGTGAGGGTGACTGAACACTGGAATAGGTTGCCCATAGAGGCTCCAGAGCCTCCATCCTTGGAGATACTAAAAAATGCAGTTGGATGCAGCCCTGAGCAACCTGCTGTAGTAAACCCTGCTCTGAGCAGGGGGCTTGGACTAGAGATGCTCCTGTGGTCCCCTTCTATGATTCCATGATTTTATGAAAATTTGTACCTTGTAACATCTGCTATCGGCTAACACTCCTCACTAAAGTTTGCATACTCAAACTTTGACTGTATTTCCAGTACTGTTAAGTAACTTCCATATTCAGGCAACACAGCAGTGCAGTAAATTTTATACCAAGAATTTACTTGTGCTACGAACCAGTATACTCACAATAAAAGCCAGAAACCCCAGAAAAATATGCTTCAGTCCCTAGACAGTTTAATTCTCCATAGATATTCAGATGAGAATACTACCTTGAAAAATAACTCATACCCAAAGGTTAACCATTCATCTAATCACTTGAAAAAGTTCTAAGAATTTCCCATTGTTTCAGACTATGGAACAACAAAATTTATTAATGCCTATTTTGAAAGAATAAGTGAAGAAATCCTGTCCCAGTTCCTGAAATCTTCAACATGTGGCAATACCTGGAAGAAGGAAGAATGAAGGGATAGGAAAAGGAAGGAAAAAGAAAATTAAGAAGAAAAAAAAACAGAGAAAGAAACCTCCAACTCTTCCCCTGCCTGTATTCAAACACTTGCATTATCATGATTGATACAAGCTTTTAACACAAGCTTCATAAAAGATCCAATAATAATGTTGATCACAAAAAAAAAATTTTCCCCAAATGCAGTATTTTAGTTCATTACAGAAGAAAAGTTTCAGTATGATTTGTGTATAAAAACATCTGACTTCAAACAAAGCAAATAGGACGGTTTCATAATTTAATTAATTTGTATTTTAAAATTACCTCTTATCATTCTAGAAAGTTACTGAATTACATAACATCCACTAACATCTATTACTAATTTCTCCTAACCAGCCTAAATACAGATTATTTTTTTAGCAGTATAAGTAATAAGATGTTAGAAGCTCTTATTAAAAAATATTTTTTGATTAAGGAAAGAAAGGTAATTTGAAAAACAGCTGCACTTACTTTAGAAAATCCATAGCTGCTTCATCAATACTTATGACACGAAGGGTGAGAACTGAGCTCTGCTTAACACTTTCTGGAAGGTTATGATCAACACTTCGGAAAGTTAGATTAGCTCCCTGTTGGTAAAGCATACAATGATTTACAAATAGGTCGTGTATTTCATAAAATATGTTCTGCAAGACTTTCAGGAAGTAGGATTGTTAAAAGCCTTGGTATGAAATGATGAAACGGTGTAGCTAAGGTCAGTTAACCTTCTTAACAGAGCCTTTCTAGTACTAAATAAATACAGCTGCAGGCTCTAAGATGACACATTATCCTCTACATAGAGGTTTGTCTAGTAAGAGGGCCTACTGTTGCCTAATCTACAGCTGAGAAACATGAGACTAGAGATTGTTGTTCCCTCAGCCAGGCTTTACTTTTCAATTTTTCTTCTCCCTTCATCCTTATGGGATCCAAAACTCACTCGACCACAGAAGAGAGTCACATTGTGCTGCACTGATTCCATGAGAGCAAAGTTCTCTCAGGCTAGAAGAAACTCTCCACAGTTATTTTCAATAACCTAAAATCATACTTGAGATAAACAAACAACTAAAAAGTAGCCTTCCCAAAGTTCAAATCATCCCTCCATACCATAAAGAAAGTAATCTATTTCATCTTGGAAACTCTTATATTGTAGCCACATGTAAAGAGTTAGGATTAGGCAGGTGATTAGACAAAAGAGTCTAAAAATTAACATTGTCCTCTTTCACTTTCAATACTTCATTCGAATACAGTTTTTGCTCTAAACTTAAGATTTGTGGGAGGATGTGAAGAACTCAGTGAAAACACTGTATTTTAAAAATTGCTAAAGTATTTATAAACCAGGAACATTTAACCAAGTACAAAAGTACAGAAGATGCAATATGATTTGTAGTCAGTCATCAGATTAACTGGTAGATTAAGTTTACCATTGTTTCAAAAGCTCTCTCTACACAGCTGGTGGTAAACGTTTTCAAACTTTAGGTTAAAACCAATTAACCTGAAATTTCCTCATATTTGAAAAAAATATTTAATCATTGCCTCGTGTCATAAATGCCAGCAGACCTTGTAAAGACTATTATTTTTTAACAAATACTTGGGTCTACTTCCAATTTGTTCATTTTGCCTACAGAAAGGTCTCCACTATCTGCAGTCTTGTGCCCTCTAGTGGGAAAATTTCAAACTACAGCATAATCTGAAGCCACAAATGGTATCTCTACAACTTTGTGGGACAGCAACTTAATCCAGAGTCATGAAAATCTTTAATTCAAAAACGTTACTGATGGGAAAGACTTTTGGTCTTCTCTGAAAGCTAGATGACAATTTTCAATTCGAATATCTAAATATTACTTCCAAATCACCATCAAAATTGACTTAGATTCCACAGAAGAATACTTACAATATAGAAGTCACTAAGATCATAAGCTTTTCCCTTCTTTTGTCCACGTTGATGTTGATAAACTCCCTTCTGAATGAAAGGCAAAGCATTTGTTCTGTGAAATAATTAAAAACTGATATTAAAACAATTAAATTTATTTAAGTTTCTTAGATAGAGTGGAAGATGTTTTCTAAAACCTTTTTTAAAAAAGTAATTTATCCTACCTATTTTTTCCAAACTGTCGAAATTCATACACAGTAAGGGATTTGTCACATGCAAAAAAAAATCCAATCAACTCTCTGCAAGCATCGCGACCATTTCTAGAAGGAAAATTGAAAAGCACCTTTATGGTTTTGCATCTATATAAATCCAATTCAACCCAAACATAAATAAAATTTCTATTTTGGAATATGCATTTTATTTCCAATGTCGCATATTGTACAATCTTTTTGTTTGAAAGAGGCATCCGACTATTTCCTCTAAACTACCATGGAATACAACTTCTGGATTTGGACACATTTTAATGCAATATTCCATTCTCCACGTGTTAAAGAACACCTTTCAAGGCTTCATGTTTTAGTATACCAATGTAATTTTCACTCATTAACTAAAGGATCACTTACACCAGGACTGTTGTATTCATTATGCTATATGAAGCTATGGTATATGAAGCTATGTGGCTGGATCGTCAGCTACGTCTAACAACTATACAGCTCACTGCTTCAGAAAAGCGACACTTTCAGAGCTGAAGAATACATTTATGTCACAGCTACTCAGTTCAGATCAGTTTCAAAGATGCCCTAAACCTGCAAGTTTAATACGTAAGGAGCTACAAACAAGACACAAAGCCATCCTCTCCATCCACAGTGGTTGCCACATATTGAGACAAGGCTAAAATAAATTTTAATCAACTGAGGTACAACGGCTAAGAGCCCTATTTTACACAGCCCCTGTGCTAGTTGTCCTGCACAGAGCTACGGGTATGATGCAACGTAATATTACTTATGCATCTTAACGCTGTACAATGGGACTGTAAAGTCCTTATCCATCAGCCATGTCAAAATTTGTATTATACATGTATGCATATATATAGCCACACAACACATACTTTCTTCTAAACATAGGGAACAGAAAGGTTCAGTGCAATTAATTATTTCAAGAGGGTAAAGATCATAATTCATAACTTCATAGAACTGAAAAGCTTGACAAAATTTGTGATTACCTTGATATAATCCTACTATCAAAGCGTAATTTGTTAGAGAGCATGTTTTCAGTTAATCCTGATTTGGTCCTTATTCTGTAAAAATAATGCAGCATGTTAACGATACCTATATGCTCACAGAGAAACGTTACATAAAAATCAACTGTTTCAAAACAGCAAAAAATGTGAAATACAGTATCCTTGGCAACTGGCTGAGGAGATGATCCCTTGTAGTTGAATTAGAAAGCAACTCAGAGTTGTAATGTGGAGGGTGTTCTGTAATTATATAATATGAGAGTACATTCACAGAAGGTACAGATATGAATGGGATATTTCCTTTACATACATTTATATCAAGAAATAAACCTCTACCATTCACCATACGTCCATCAATCAATGAGTTTTCTTGCAAAAAATACCCAGGTTGGGGATTCTTTACCCAACTAGGTATTTTATATTGGCCATTACTAGTTCCAGAAATGGAGATTTGTCCATGTGATGGGTGTAAGAGACTAAGACTGGTTTTGTTGCCCTCATTTTTTTTTTTAAGAATACAAAGATGACATTTGTTGAGCAGGATGTTAAAATGAGCAAAGCGGAGATGTTTGCCTGCATATTGAGAAAGATTAACAGAACAAAACTCAGACCTGCAGATTCATTTAATCTTATCAATCACAATGTTTTCTCAGTTTTTCTTTTTTTCCTTAAGCCTTTGGAGTTACTATTTCAATGCTCAGAGGCCAGGAATGACACCTAAATGCCAATACGGTTAATTATTGCAGCAGAAATAAAAACATGATAGAAAAGTACGGTTATATTGTGAAGATCTACATTAGCATTTACGGACACATATTTATGCAGTTTTATGCACCGCAGGATAGGAATCTCTAAAAGGATATGACAAGATTGCAAGCATTCAATAGCTCAGAGAAGGCTGGCAAAATCCTGTGATGAACAATATCAATATAAGCTTAAGAATGTTCTCCCAGGTTTTATAAATTCTATGAATCAATCACTATACACAGAGAATCCACATAAAAAGGTCCCACTAAGCAATTATAAGCATGGGGAGGCTATAAAAAAGGCCTCCCATGAAGCTGGTGGATCCAAGCCAGAAATAAAACACCTGGAAAGGCAAACAGACTTTGCAGAGCCCAAAATAATAAAAAAATACAGCAGAAAATGTATTTCTATTAAAAAAAAAAAAAGACCACTAGAGAAAACTTACTTTGTTTCATGCAACGTTCTTTTTCTAAAACGCATTGGTGCTGCCCCAAGTCCCAGAAGTCCATAAGTTTCCTTGTAAACATCATCACGTGTAGATTGCTCCGGGTCACTTATAACAGCTCTGACCAGAAAGAGCAGGGAGAAGCCCTCTGAATATTAGTAAGTTTGAATTTCAGATCTTACATATTCTTACTCAAGAAACAAACCACCCAAGAATAAGACAGCAATAAAATCTTGGAGTTATCCATTAAGCTTGCATAAATCTGTGGGCTTATTTTTTTGTTTTTAAAAATTCTCAAGTCAATTAATCGATACATGCAATAATGTTCTGGCAGTGCACTACTATGTGGTAATTTTACATGTACATACATATTATTTAAAGAATATTTTATATATGCATATATAAAATAAATCATAGGATTACAAAGGGTTTTTTTTCTCATTTCCACTATTTCTGTAAATATTCCATCAGTGATATGCTTTATCCATGGCTCCCTCCAAAGTCAGCGACAGCAGTTACTAGTACTGGCCAGTGACATGATCCAATGAAAACACCGGCACTTTCTCTCCCAAAGCACTGACTACACAGCCCATTGGATCTCAAAAGTCCCATCAAGCAGACAAGAACTAAATGAGCTGGTTTCTGAACATTTTGATTTTCTCTCTATCAGTTTAACAAGTAAACAAAAGAAGAGACCCTTTCAAAAAATTCTTTTTACGTTATTGAAATGGTTCATAATCAGAAGGAAAAAATATTTTTGCACAGCTAGTATAGTTTTATAAGTTCACTCTGATCTATGCAGATCCATCTTTGCACACATCAGTTAACACTTAATCACTTAATTAATTATTAAAACACTTAACAGTTAATCATTTAACTGCAAGACTGGCTCTACTAAAAAAAAAAAAAAAAAAGATAATCCAAACATCTTTGTGTTTCCTTTAATAGATTTTTTTTCATGCAACAGTTTTGAACTAATCTTCCCCGATTAACATCCTGCTCTCTGATACCAATTTGTTTGGCAGTACTGGCACAGTTATATTTGGAACATAAACAGAGAGATTTTTTAAATTAAAAGTTCATCCTGATGCAGCTGCAGCACTACTGAATATTGTTTTGACATTGTCAACAGAAGGGTTCAGTGCAGGAGAAGGAATACATGGAAAAAATAAGGCAAAGCAGCTGAAGGAGGTTAAGCACAGAATGAACAACCATGATCCAAGATGCACAACCCTGTATGTTTAATCCAACATCAGTAGGATTGAAACGCTTCAACACAACCAGCGCATTTGTAAGATAAACTCTGTAATCATCTGCTTTCCTACATCTTTGTAGAGGTATGACATGGGACAAATGTTTCTTTCAAAATTGGGAATTTCTGCACTGAGCACTTTCATATTTTTAATCCTGCTACAATGATACTTGGCATTTAACATTGTGTTTCAGTACAATCTTGTTTCATTCATGCAACTTTCTTGATATCTCAGCTTTTAAATAGTGTAAAAGCATTAATAGACTTTCAAACAATATAGGTCATTTAAACTGCAGCTGGAACGGAAACCAAGAAAACATAAAATGGTGAAGTGCAACATTTCAACCTCAAAGTCTTAAGATCTGATGGGCTGTAATATCAGTTCAGATGACTACAGAGATTGTAAATTAAGCACAGAACGTAACACACTGTAGAACTACCCACAGATAATTTTTAGCAAGTGTAAGGTAGCATGAAACTATATTAAACTAGCTTGCAGCATCCTATATTGCCATAACGAGACAACTTGGATAAAGCCCTGAATTATTAAAGCATGCTTAAAAATGAGAACAAATTTATGGGAATAATGATAAGGGAAGATGGTTTTACCACATTCATCTTTACCTATAAGTTACTTTTTTTTCCACTTAACATATCAAGGGATCTTTTTACATAGAAGCAATGCCTTCTCAGCGCTAAAGGGATAGCAATGAAGTTAGGAGAACCTTCCTGTACAACCTTGATCAACTTGATTCATCATTGTGCCTTTTTTTCCCACCTGCCCAACATTGGTATAATACTCCTTTACTCCAGAGGGATGTTGTGTCAGTATTAATAAAGGAATATCAATAAAACCAAGATCCTTAGAAAAGAAAGTAATTACTGAAGAAGTGTAATTTGTAACAGCAGGCATCCATATATTTTGCTGAGGTGCAAGACGGTTATTTCTGAGAACTAATGCTATTGTAAAGCTCTTAAATTAGGTTCAAGTATAAAATTAAAAATTATTCTCAGAAAAAAATTGATCTTACACATAGCACTTGAAACCAATCTTTTAATTTAAATTAAAAATACTTTTAATTTAAGGAATTTTTGCAAATAATAACAATACATAAGTGGAACGAGATGATCAAAACACCCTCTAGGCAAGAAAAGCCTCACATTC